AACTATATTTGTAAGTACGGTGTACAGTAGACATTGGTGTTTGAAAGCAGCTTGGAATCAAAGAAAGCACCAGAACCACGGCGATATCAGTGGGATCTCGCATTTTGCAATACACGGTTTGAAAAAGCACTCACTTTCAGTGTTAAATGTACACCATTAATTTTGCTGTGCATTTACGCTCATACTATTCTCATCATGTAGGCTATACCCGCACTGTATCTGCAAGCTGTTGGCTAGAAGGCACATGCCAATATCAGAGTGGGCACATTCGCTATACCTACGCAAATTTTTTTGTGACACAACGCAATGGAAACCCATTTAACTTTTATTTTTTATTCGGTACATGATAATTTAACTGCAAAAGTTATTTTTATGTGCACTACGTATTTACACACATACTTTTATCCACAACAAGAAAATATGATGGAAACACAAATCTGATGGGAAAATTTACATATGCAGATTCTAGAATATTCGCATGAAACTCTGTCACTAATTTGATGGAACCCTAATTATAGGCACCCTAAAGACTCTGGCAAGTGCTTGAGTCCAGTGTCATTTTGATTATGCCTGCACATCACGGTTCCCCAGCATCCCCAATGTCACAACTTCCTCCGAAGCTTCCTCCTCTCCTTGTTCGGGCAGGCTTCGGCGTTTGTCGTCACCGGCCTTCTAGACACTGCCTCTCCTCATCTCATCATTCCATTAGTTTTGTCTTGTTTATTACACACACCTGGTTCATATCCCCTCATCAGTACCTGTATAACTGTTCCCTCTGCCCCCTTGTCTTTGTGTGTGATTGTTTATTGTGGAGGATAGAGAAGCTCGGTGGAGCTCCTTATATTTTGTATCGCCGGGACATTTCCCCATGTGCCTTGTTGTTTCCAGTGCGCATGTTTTGGAGTGTTTTGACGCATTACTGCGTAACTCTGTATTTCTGAATAAATCCTGTTATTCTGGGATTTACCTCTCCTGCGCCTGACTCCTTCGAAATCACTCATCACAGAATCATACACCAATACATGGAGTCAGCAGGAGAGGAGCACATGCCTGGAGTCGTGGCGCAGGTCCCGGAGCATTCTACGATGCTAGCCAGCTTGGGAGAAGCGATGGATTGGGTTCTCCAGGTTGTCCAACGCCTGGAGAGGAGAGGACCCAATCTTTCGGGACCAGCTGAGTGACCGGATCCAGCCCCCCACACCCCAGCATCAAGAGGGATTCATATATCCCGACCAAGGGATTTTGACGGGACAGCTGCCCGCTGCCGGTGATTCCTCCTACAACTGGATCTATACCTATCGACCATCAGCCCGGCTCCATCGGAGCAGGAGAAGGTGTCCGCCCTCGTCTCCTGCCTCTCTGGGAAAGCCCTGGAGTGGGCCAACGCGTTCTGGGGGAGCCGCGTTGGACAACTACGGGGAGTTCGCTCGCCTCTTCCGGGCTGTCTTCAATCACCCACCCGAAGGTAGAGAGGCGGGCGAGCGGCTGGTCCACCTGAGGCGGGGGACGAGGACCGCGCAGGACCTTGTCCTGGAGTTTCGCACTCTAGTGGCTGGGTCCGGGTGGAACGAGCAGGCCCTCATCGACCACTTCCGGTGCAAAACAGGCGCACTGGAGTGTTTTGACACGTTACTGCGTAACTCTGTATTTCAGAATAAATCCTGTTATTCTGTGATTTACCCTCCTGCGCCTGACTCCTGCGCCTGACTGAATTATCACGGACTCAGCCCCCAACTATTTTTCATTTGTTAGAGATGTCCACCAGCATAATACCAGAGCCAGGGATTCTAATATTCACTTTTAAATATAAGAGTCTATCTGATAAGAAAAAAAGTGTATACTGACGCTGTTGAGTGGAACAAACTACCACAGCAACTCAAAACTATACCAACCATAACCACTTTTCAAAAGAATGTCAAACGCTGGCTAATGTGTGAACAGTAGAACCTGTTTTTGTCTATATCTCTGTAATGTGTCTGTATCTCTGTAATGTGTCTGTATTTATGTAAAAAATAAGTCATTGACTTTATTGTGCATTCTACTGTGTGTATATACAATCTACCTTTTGGGGTGACAAATAAAATCAATCAATCGATCCAAACTGTGCAGCTGCCATTTGATGAATGGAAAGAGAACAAAACACCAAAAAGTGTAATTACATTTAGAGATTGTCAAGCCAAGCCTTAATACTGGGTAGGCATACAAGGTGGAGTGGGATGTGTTTTCTGTTAGTCGAGATTGACATTGTCTATTTATTGTTGTGTTAAACACAAACCATGATATTTAAGCGCCCGAAGTAGGTATGCGTTGTTTATTGGTTGTGTTGTGCATTGGCACAGAAACCTGTTGGTGGAAAAAAATTTGCATACTGTATATTTTATATAATTATAAATACAGGTATGTCATCAAAATGTTAAAAATCTGATTTCCCCTAGCTGATCATTGTCTGCAGCCGGCTCTGATCCTAGTGTAGGCCCAATGTGACAGGGAGAGTGAGCTCGTCCGTGGTGGTCGGCGAACACTCAATATTCTGGCCCGTAGCCCTGCGTGGCATCGACTGTGCCACAAAAGTTTGCTGAAGTGACAAAGTCCATATCCATGTTTATAAACACAGGGTCGCTACAGTTACTGTTATCTGTGATCATAAACATTATTTTGAGTTAATTCTATGAGGGGGAGGGCAAAAAAAATTATTCGTACAAGGGGAGGGTCATCCCCCCTACACACATTACACATGACGCAGGTCACATGACACAGTTCAAAAGTATATTTCTATATATTTATGACAAAAATTGAATGTATTATTGGAACAATTCTAATTTAATAGGCCTACAGTAGTGACTTCTCCCCCAGCCCAATCTCTGCATGTTATTTGACCCTGAAGTCAAAAAGACGTTGGGATCTCTTCCATCTCCTCCGACCTAATTGGGAATGATTATACATAATTATTGCCCATATCTGTCCGATATCCCCGGAGTCCCGGAGGCTTACAAACAAACACAAACAGTTGTGGAGACAGTCTACAATATCCAGAGACAGCAGCGTCACCGCCTACCTCTGACGGGATCATGGACAGATTCATCAAAGCAACCCCAGCGGTAATGTATTTTCCCATGAGGAAAGCTGCGCCTGTGAACAAGGGCATCACTGAGTAGTTAGTGAGCAGTGTACCGTAGTTTAAGCCTCCTCCATAACTGTTTTTGTATGTTTTGTGAATTAGAAGTGTATAATTGTACTTCCCTAAAATATGTATGTAGCCATGTTCTACATTTATTTACTTGTGTGGGCCTAAAGTTATTCTCCAATTCGGCAGATGGAGGTAGACTAGAAAATTATAGCTTTATTTTACTTCAGTTGTGGCAAGTCTGATAAGACAAAGAAGCGAATATATGGCAGCAACATTCACATATGACAAAGACTATAATAAACATAAGTCTAGGTAGCCTACAGGCAAATAATAATTGACACACTCTATAGGCCTAACTACAATCAGGCCTTCATTCAGACCATTAAGGTTTGCATGGTACAGACAGTGTATATGTCACTGTTTGGAGCCTATAAGCCGACAGATGTAGGATCTTAATTTGAGCCTGTTTGGAACAGCAGGAAAAGAATCCAGCAGCAACGGGAAATGTGAATTATTATGCGGATTATAATTAATGGACATTTTTGTAGTGGTTGATACATTTTTCGTAAGGTAAAATCAAGTCTGAAATCTCAAAGTGAAAACCTCAAATACACTCCAAGTTTTACATTTCCTGCATTGTAGGAAAGTTCTCATGCAACAGGGTGATCAAATTAAGATCCTACATCTGTAATGGCTATAGGAGGGGTGCTGTCATTATGGCTGTCAAGCATGCAAAGGACCATAAACACAACTGACCCTAGTGTGCTTTGGGCAGGCCTAGGCCTGGAAATCATGTAGGCTACAAAGACTATTGTTCATTATGACTAATGCTATGTGCACACATGACATTCAAAGGCTTATTCTTTACTATTAGAAAAGGTGGAGAGCACGGTATGTCTTTAGAAAGAGATCATTATGAACATGATGGTGGGAGTAAAGAGAGAGAGGGAGGGAGGGATTGAGGGAGCGGGGAGAGCGGGGAGATCAACAGCAGCAGATAGAGGAGGGTTGTGTATACACAAGCAGCAATTTAAACAGGAGATGTTGGCTCGATAAGGAAATTAAGGAAAAGGGTGCAACTCAAATAAACTGAGACTGATACACTACAGCTCTGATAGAGGGGACCACTCACAGAGCCAGAGAGAGAGAGAGAGAGAGAGAGAGAGAGAGAGAGAGGGGTGGGGGGGGGGGGAGACGTTTCTGTGAAACCAGGTTGGGTCATTGCATGAAAAGAGTTGGACACAACAGAACCATTCCTTGGATGTCAACATCAGAATTGAACCCTGAATTCATAGAGGAACCTGGACCCATCTGATTCTGAACCGATCCAATTAGTGCACATTCTATCCATTCAACAGACAAGTTTGCTCTACATTCCCAAGTAGAAGCAGAATAACATTCTTTTTTGGAAGCAAAGGACACCTAAAGCAAGTTCTGGATTGTGGGAATATTATTGGGAAAGGTGGTTTGTGTATCATGGACCAGTCCTGTGGTTTTGGCTTGCATTCAGTAGTCACAGAGTGACAAGAGAGGAGATAACAGGATTGGTATGGATATACGGTTATAGAGGGAAATCTGACTGTTGTGATTGAATCTCTTCTCTCAACGACCCGCAGGATGAATGGGTGAGAAGAAAAGAGAGGATAGAGGTATTAATTTACTGCTTTTATCTGTGTATTCAGTAAAGGAAGAACACTTTCATATTAATTGTGTGTTTTCAAATGCTGTTTTTTTTTATGTGTGTCTAAAGCGAAAAACCAATACCTTTTCTGAAGCATCTGTTTAAAAACTGCAAACAAACTGAGGCCATCAGGTTATAGCTGAAAAGCTCAACTCAGGATACCACGAAACCAAGGCAATCCCAAAAGGACCAATGACACAATCCTATCAAATCAAGGACATGCCCTTAACCTCAGGCCTCGACAAATCCTGGGCTTCCTTCCTAAAGTCTGCACCTCGTCTCCGCCTCAACACCTTGGACTTCTCCGACCTGTGGGATGAGGAGGACCTGGGATTGGACAGCGCTGAGGAAGACGGAGGCACCTCGACCAATCAAACCTCAGCATGTCTCCAAACTCCACCCCCTCCTCCTCCCATGCCACTCTCAGCTCCTCCCCCTCCCCTGCCCCCAGGACATGCCTCTCCCATGGGGAAACCTTCTGGTTGTCGTACCCTAAAGCTCCACTGGAGGGCGCTCCAGAGCCTGCCCCTCCTGCCCAGGGTTTGCCGCTTTGGGCCCCAGACCATCTGGGCTGGGCTGGAGCCTGTGCACCTTGACACCAACCGGCTGGAGTACCTGTTTGAGACCAAGGGAAATGGCTCCATCTGCAGTGTGCTGACGGGATGGCAGGTAAGAGTTGAAATCAGAGATCTCTTGAGTGCTCTGCAATCCAATTTCTTGGTGCTCTGGCTAATTATGTAAGGCTAATTTTGTAAGGTATTCTGGCTAATGTTGTGTACCTGGAGAGGAACAAACTGTACAGACTCTACTCTGTGCTGTAAACCATCTCTCTCTCTCCCTTTCTCTCCCCCCACCCATCTCTTCCAGAAGCAGCCGTCTGTCTCAGTTCTGGGGGTGAAACGGAGTAACATCATCACCATTGCCCTCAGTAGCCTCCCTCCTCCCCGCCTGCTGCCTCCTGCCATTTACACCATGGACTGTAGTGTGCTGGACAGAGAGGACGTACAGGTTGAATCTCCACTACAGACGACTATCATGACTCACTGTGTATTTTGACTCCATATATAGTGACCTTTCACTGATAAATCATAAACCACTGCAAAGACAACATTGAAAATACAATGAGGCTAATTGTATTATGCTGTATGTCACCTTCCTCACTGCATCTTATACTAGTAGGAGGACTAACTTTTACTCCACTTACTGCCAACTCATCTCTACCACAGTACATCAGCCTGTACCATACTATAGGCATACCTTCTCCACTGACTTTCACATCCATCTTAATCCCTTCTCTCTCTCTCTCCATCCAGCGTCTCCAGTCCCTGGTCCCCAGTGAAGAGGAGCTGTCTCTGATCAGGAAGGCCCAGGCCGAGTCCCCCCACTCACCTCTTGCCCCGGCTGAGCTCTGTCTCCTAACCCTGGGGGAGATCACTTACCTGAGCCCCAGGCTTCAGCTCTGGGCCTTCGCTCAGGACTATGACACCCTGGAAAGAGTAGGTGTCCGAGTGTCATAAAACAGAAGGCAGAATAAGTGATTAGAGGAGGTGGAGGATGGATGGATGGATGGATGGATGGATGGATGGATGGATGGATGGATGGATGGATGGATGGATGGATGGATGGATGGATGGATGGATGGATGGATGGATGGATGGATGGATGGATGGATGGATGGATGGATGGATGGATGGATGGATGGATGAATGGATGGATGGATGAATGGATGGAGAATTGATAAGGTGCTGTCACCTTGTGGAATTATGGTTTATTACAGAGGTGTTGTAGAGCTTTTTAACGTTGAACAGTGATGCAGGGTCGTATTCATTAGGCCACAAACGGAAGAAAACGGATTGAAAGAAGGAGGGACTACTTTAACATGTCCAATAAGAATTACAAGTCCCCCCCACACATTTTTAAAAATAAGTTTTGCTACTGTGTGCACTAATGAATACAACCCTGATTTCTTTAATACTTGGGTGCACTGAAGTTATTTGACAGTTTTGACACTTATTGTGAATGTGTTGCTTACGTATTGCTGTATGTTATTTATACAACCAGGAAATTGCAGAGCCTCTCTTCCACTTGAAGCTTGCCATGGAACAGCTGGCAGCCAATCAGACCTTCAGATGCATCTTGGCCACTGTGCTAGCCATTGGTAACTTCCTCAATGGATGCAAGGTGAACAACATACCACCATCAACTCCTTTCTATTTGTCTAGTTTCTCTTTTTCAGTGTTGTTGCAGTGATCTATAGCTGTTTTGCTAGCACAGACTGGAACATGTTCCGGGATTCTTCAGATAGCATTGAGGAGTACACCACATCAGTCACTGGCTTCATCAATAAGTGCATCGATGACGTCGTCCCCACAGTGACCGTACGTACATACCTCAACCAGAAGCCATGGATTACAGGCAACATCCGCACTGAGCTAAAGGGTAGAGCTGCCACTTTCAAGGAGCGGGACTCTAACCCGGACGCTTATAAGAAATCCTGCTATGCCCTCCGACGAACCATCAAACAGGCAAAGAGTCAATACAGGCAGGACTAAGATTGAATCGTACTACACCGGCTCTGACGCTTGTCGGATGTGGCAGGGCTTGAAAACTATTACAGACTACAAAGGGAAGCACAGCCGCGAGCTGCCCAGTGACACAAGACTTCCAGACAAGCTAAACCACTTCTATGCTCGCTTCGAGGCAAGCAACACTGAAGCATGCATGAGAGCACCAGCTGTTGCGGATAACTATGTGATCACGCTCTCCGCAGCCAATGTGAGTAAGACTTTTAAGCAGGTCAACATTCACAAGGCCGCAGGGCCAGACGGATTACCAGGACGTGTACTCCGAGCATGTGCTGACCAACTGGCAAGTGTCTTCACTGACATTTTCAACATGTCCCTGACTGAGTCTGTAATACCAACATGTTTCAAGCAGACCACCATAGTCCCCGTGCCCAAGGACACTAAGATAACCTGCCTAAATGACTACCGACCCGTAGCACTCACGTCTGTAGCCATCAAGTGCTTTGAAAGGTTGGTCATGGCTCACATCAACACCATTATCCCAGAATCCCTAGACCCAATAACATTTGCATACTGCCCCAACAGATCCACAGTTGATCCAATCTCTATTGCACTCCACACTGCCCTTTCCCACCAGTACAAGAGGAAAACCTACGTGAGAATGCTATTCATTGACTACAGCTCAGCATTCAACACCATAGTGCCCTCAAAGCTCATCAATAAGCTAAAGATCCTGGGACTAAACACCTCCCTCTGCAACTGGATCCTGGACTTCCTGACGGGCCGCCCCCAGGTGGTAAGGTTAGGTAACAACACATCTGCCACACTGATCCTCAACACGGGGGCCCCTCAGGGGTGCGTGCTCAGTCCCCTCCTGTACTCCCTGTTCACCCATGACTGCATGGCCAGGCACGACTCCAACACCATCATTAAGTTTGCCGACGACACAACAGTGGTAGGCCTGATCACCGACAACGATGAGACAGCCTATAGGGAGGAGGTCAGAGACCTGGCCGTGTGGTGCCAGGATAACAACCTCTCCCTCAATGTGACCAAGACAAAGGAGATGATTGTGGACTACAGGAAAAAAAGAGGACTGAGCATGCCCCCATTCTCATTGACGGGGCTTTAGTAGAACAGGTTGAGAGCTTCAAGTTCCTTGGTGTCCACATCACCAACGAACTATCATGGTCCAAACACACCAAGACAGTCGTGAAGAGAGCACGACAAAGCCTATTCCCCCTCAGGAGACAGAAAATATTTGGCATGGGTCCTCAGATCCTCAAAAAATTATACAGCTGCACCATCGAGAGCATCCTGACTGGTTGCATCACCGCCTGGTATGGCAACTGCTCAGCCTCCGACCGCAAGGCACTACAGAGGGTAGTGCGTACGGCCCAGTACATCACTGGGGCAAAGCTTCCTGCCATCCAGGACCTCTATTCCAGGCGGTGTCAGAGTAAGGCCCTCAAAATTGTCAAAGACTCCAGCCACCCTAGTCATAGACTGTTCTCTCTGCTACCGCACGGCAAGCAGTTCCGGAGTGCCAAGTCTAGGTCCAAAAGACTTCTCAACAGATTCTACCTCCAAGCCATAAGACTCCTGAACAGCTAATCATGGCTACCCGGACTATTTGCACTGCCCTCCCACCCCCACCCCATCTTTTTACGCTGCTGCTACTCTGTTAATTATTTATGCATAGTCACTTTAACTCTACCCACATACATATTACCTCAACTACCTCAACTAGCCGGTGCCCCCGCACATTGACTCTGCACCGGTACCCCCCCTGTATATATAGCCTGCCTACTGTTATTTTATTTTACTTCTGCTCTTTTTTTCTCAACACTTTTTTTTTTATTGTTGTTTTATTTTACTTTTTTTTTTTTAAATAAATGCATTGTTGGTTAAGGGCTGTAAGTAAGCATTTCACGTTCATGTATACACCTGTTGTATACGGCGCATGTGGCCAATAAAATTTGATTTGATTTGATATCTTTCCTCTGTCTAAGTCAGCGCTTCCCAAACTCGATGCACGTTTTTATTTTTTACACTACACAGCTGATTCAAATGATCAAAGCTTGTTGATTAGTTGATTATTTGAATGAGCTGTGTAGTGCTATGGCAAAAACCAAAACGTGCATCCCTTGAGGTCCTGAGGACCGAGTTTGGGAAACCCTGGTCTAAATCCTAGCAATCTAACTTTCTTTCTCGCCCCTCTCTCTCTCTCCTCATATCTCTCTACTAGAACGAGTAGAGGAGCTCGAGTCTCAGTACTAGCTCGGATAAGCTAGGTCTCTCTACCTTAGTCTCGCTCTCTGTTCGACCTCTTCCTGTTCTCTCCCTCTCTCTACCTCTCTCTCTCCCCCTCTCTCTAGGCCAGTGGTTTTGAGTTGAGTTACCTGGGGAAGCTGTCTCAGGTCAGAGATACACACTCCCGTCAGCCTCTGCTGCACCATATGTGTGTTCTGCTGCTGCAGCTCTACCCACAGTCCTCAGACCTCTACTCTGATATCACCTCTGTCACCCGCGCCAGCAAGGTGTGTGTGTGTGTGAGAGAGAGAGAGTGAAAGACAGAGTGAGTAGTGTATATCTATGTGTTAGTGTGTGTGTGACCACTCTGTCTCTCTCCCAGTGTGACTACACCCAGGTCCAATCCAGCCTCTCACAGCTGGAGGCCCTTTGCAAATCATCATGGGACCAGCTGCGTCTGCTAGAACGGGAGGATCAGAAGAAGAGAGGAGGACGAGACAGAGGAGGGGAGCGGGAGGGCACCCTGCGGCAGAGGTTACCTACGTTCCTGAAGGAATGTGAGGACAGGCTGAAGGTACTGAGAGCTGTCCATCGGAGGGTTATCAACAGGTGATGTCTGAATATTGTAACTTGTGTAAGAGTGTAACTTTACTTAAATTACTTAATACGATACTTTACATTAAGGTACGCTTAAAATGATGTTTAAAGGGCTTATAAGTAGTTTATAAAGTTGATTTGATTAGTTTAGAGGTTCATAAATCTGGAATAAACAGATATTACACTAAAATTGGGTGGTTGTTGTTTCTCTCTCTTTTCCTCCCTCCCGCTATCTCTCTCTATCTCTCTCGCTCACACAACCCATTCTCCTCGACTCTCTTCTACAATATCTTCCTCCTCTCTCTCTCCGCTTCCATCTACCTCTCTCACGCTCTCGCTCCTCATCCTCATCTCTCTCTCTCCTCATCTCTCTCTCTTCCTCTCTCTCTCTCCTCTCTCTCTTCTCTCTCTCTCTCCCTCTCTCTCTCTCTTCTCTTCTCTTCTCTCTTCTCTCTCTCATCCAACCTTCTTCTCTCTCGGTCTCTCTCATCTCTCTCTCTTTGTTTCTCTTATCTCTCCATCGTCTAGACTCAACTTCTGCAGACGTTCACACTTCCTTTGAATTTCTGGCTACCTCTCAGTCACGATGGTGAGAGAGACGAATGCGGAGGACTCGAAGAACGCGTCAGAGCGATTCCCTCTGGAACTACAGACCTAACCCTCTCTCTCCCATCCTGCACAGACTCGGTGAGGAGGGAGAGGAGGGAGGCGAGAGAAGGAGGGAAGACAGAGTCCCGCGGTTACCTGCAACCAAGGAGCAACACAAACACCACTACCATCACCACCACCACCAGACACCTTCTCAGGTAGAGACTGAGGGGAGAGCGAGAGAGAGGGAGAGAAGGAGAGAACTGACAGTATCACTAAAACCAGGAGTGTATTCAATAGGAACCAAATGGAAGCAAACAACCGAAACGGGGAGGGACTAACCTGAACTTGTCCAATAAGATACTTTTATTTGTTGCAAAACATTTTGTTACGGTGTGCACTAATGGATATGGTAGTTGAAGTGGATGGTCGTTTAAAGCTGGGATCCGCGATAGGCGAAACAGCGCCACTGGCTGCCCCAGGCACATTTGTTATTGTTTTTGTTTTGAGGAAATTAGCATCCAGCAACATGGTAGAAAAAAAATCGTAGTACATACTCTGCTGTTCTATTGCGCATGCAATGATGTGCAATGCTGGCCGAGGGGAAAAAACGGGTCTTGAAGTGACGTCTTTGTCATTGTTGTTACTAACTCAGTGGCCTTGTGGTTAGAGTTTCCGCCCTGAGTTTGGAAGGTTGTGAGTTCAATCCCTGGCCGAGTCAAACCAAAGAATGAAAAAATGGGACCTGATGCATCTTTGCTTGGCACTCACCATTAAGGAGCAAGATTGGGGGTAATGCCTTGTGATAGACTACGGTCCTGTCCAGGGGGTGTACTTGTACATCAAGTTGCCTCACACTACAGAAACAGGCTAAGGCTTGTGCAAAGCTACTTACTTTGTTGTAGTAATATCTCAAATGGATGTGGCAGATTCACTGCTATGGATTCCGGCTTTAAGTGGAACTACAAATGTATACATAAATTATAAGTAGCCTACTAATATCTGTGTTTTTATGAATTTCTCATTTTCATAACTGTATGTTGTTAATTCCTCAGGAGAGCTTGGAGCAGTGCAAACTAGAGGAAGTATTGAAGACCCCAGAATCTGACTTTCAGTTAGATTCTACCCTTCCACGCCACCGCAGTAAGAAGACTGATATCAGAGGTACACACACACACAGAGAAATGTACACACACACACACACACACACACACACACACACAAACTCACCTTACCTATTTTTTGGTGTTTCAGGTCCACTCTCCCAGAAGCTGAAGTGGTGACATATGAAGTGAAGTGTGTCGTCTGTCCTGCATTTCTGTCTATATCTGTTTGTCATACGTTTTGAAGAATCATGCTTTGTTATTACTACACAGGTGACTATAGTCACTGTAAATGCATACTGTTTAGCATACCATAGTCCCTGTATGCTGTATGCTACAATCTTATAAAATATTCTGTCATGCACTTCAACAAGCACATAGGCCTACTTATTCTCATTCACAAACACAATCTTATCCACAGTCAGACTAACACAGCAGTATGTAAAATAAATATGTGTAAATATATGTGAAACATAAAAAACTTGCCAAACATGGATTTCATTTTTACACTTCTTTTTTTGCGTGTTAGTGACATCAATAATGTCACTATGTTTTTGTTGTCAGAAAATGCATTTGACATTCAACATACATTTTTCTACCAATATATACTGAACAAAAATATAAATGCAACATGTAAACTGTTGGTCCCATGTTTCATGAGCTGACATAAAAGATCCCAGAAATGTTCCATAGGCACAAAAAGCTTATTTCGCTCCAATTTCGTGCACAAATTTGTTTACATCCATGTTAGTGAGCATTTATCCTTTTCCAAGATAATCCAGCCACCTGACAGGTGTGGCATATGAAGAAGCTGATTAAACAGCATGATCATTACACAGGTGCACCTTGCGCTGGGGACAGTTTTGTCACACAACACAATGCCACAGATGTCTCAAGTTTTGAGGGAGCGTGCAATTGGCATGCTGACTGCAGGAATGTCCACCAGAGCTATTGCCAGAGAATTGAATGTTAATTTCTCTACCATAAGCCGCCTCCAACGTCAGTTTAGAGAATTTGGCAGTACGTCCCACCGGCCTCACAACCACAGACCACATGTAACCACACCAGCCCAGGATCCACATCCGGCTTTTTCACCAGCGGGATCGTCTGAGACCAGCCAACCGGACAGCTGATGAAACTGAGTATTTATTTCTGTAAAAAAGCCCATTTGTGGGGAAAAACTCATTCTGAATGGCTGGGCCTGGCTCCCCAGTGGGTGGGCCTGGCTCTCCAGTGGGTGGGCCTATGCCTTCCCAGGCCCACCCATGGCTGCACCTCTGCCCAGTCGTGAAATCCATAGATTAGGGCCTAATTTATTTATTTCAATTGACTGATTTCCTTATATGAGCTATAATTCAGTAAAATAGTTGAAATTGTTGCATGTTGCATTTATATTTTTGTTCAGTATATTTGTGTTATTTTGTAGTGTAGGCTATTGCACTTTTATGCATGTGTGCATTGTTTCAGTCAGATGGTAGTCTTCTGTTCAGAGATGGAATGTGAAGTCGCCTCTTAGGCGGGGCTTAGTGATACATCAACCAATTCCCGAAGAGATTTAAGTCACATTCTACTGAGTAGATCCAATAAGATACTAGTATTCCGGATAAGGAGTGAACAAGCTGCTATGCGTAGCCACAGCGCCATTTCGTGATAACTGCTTCAAGGTACAGTACAGTAGTATCAGCCTACTGAATTGGAAACGGATCATATAAGACACCAACCAACACAACGTCGAAATTGTACTCATTTTTAAATAATTGAGCTCCTGGTGAGTATTTTGAATCGAGAACCTTTTTCTGAATATTTTTTTTTTTTTTTTTTTTTACTTTGAACTGATCTCTTTGGGACTTTTTATTTTTAATGGATTTTTCTGACTGCATTCTCTGAATTTGTGTTGGCTTTTAAAGGCGTGCATTTTGTTGCAGCGACGGGTGGAAAGCGGGCTGCGCGTGACTAGTGTTGGTTAGCTGTCTACACAGCGGTAATTTTTTGCTTTACTTTTCGAATTAGGACTTTTGAACCTTCATTTTTCCAAGTTTACCATACGAGCATTTTGTGTGTTTATGGTAAAACATTTATGTGAAGAAAGATCGAAGGTTGTTTCCAATCATACTGGACAAATGATTAGGCCTAGTAGTATGTGGTCAACATCATGGTCGTCTTTTCCCCTTCCTGGAATGACGTTTTTAAAAGGGTTTTTATACAGTTCAACCTTTATTTTAAGACCCTGTAATTTGAATTTCGGTTGTTGAAGTTGACTGCTCAGAAATATTTCCAACGTTTTCTTTTTGGCTTTGTTATTTTTGAGGTTCGCAACAGTGCTCTTTGCATTAGCCCTATTTCTCGAAACAATGACGTAATTTTTGAGGCAATATCTTTTTTTCGCTACGAAGAGTGAAAGTGGGCGTTCGTTTGCACTGGAATAAGAACAATACGGTGTATTGTGTAAGCAAAGACATTTGTTAAATCGTAAAATAGACTACCCTGGCTTTGCATTTTGTGATATAAATAATTAAAATATTGTGCAGAATGAGAAATTCCATGCATCCATAATTTGTGCTTTTATTGAACATTATTCAAGTGTGTAGCCTGTTGAAATAGTTGTGGTCATACTACTATGTGATCAACGTCCATTATGCCTACTAGAGCCGATCGGTGAACAAAGCTTCTTATGTAGGAAATCTCCTCTGCTTAAGGCAGTGTTGGTATGCATTGATGCTGTGAAGATGCACTGTGTTAGTATGTCAATTTCAGTGAGTTGATTTTGCACCGGTGGATACTGTTTATTTTTTATTTATTTTTGATCATCTTGTAGGCCTTACCCAGACGTTTTATTTACTAGCCCTAACTAGTAGACCTACCAGCTGTCCCAATTCTCTCAAATGGCCTCCTTCCCTCACCTGGCTGTGTCCCAATTCTCTCAAATGGCTTCCTTCCCTCACATTCTTCCCTTCATGACAAATATCTGACTAGTTGGACTGGATTGTTTTTTTCATCGTTTTAATCATGTCCTGCTGGTCTGGGCCCACATTCACAAAGTGTCTCAGACAAGTTGTGGTCTAGGATCAGGTCCCACCATCCAGTTATTGTAATCTTAATTCTGATCCTAGATCAGCACGCCTACTCTGAGATGCTTTGTGAATACTGGGCCAGAAGTCTTGAAGGAAAGGAATATCTGTCTAACATGGTCTTGACACAGCTTAAGAGTGATGCTCTTTGCACCTGACCCCACAGCACATTATGTACAGATGGCTACCACTTAGCACAGGGCTGCCCAACCCTCTTCCTGGAGATCTACTGTCCTGTGGGTTTTCAGTCCAACCCTAATTTAACACACCTGATTCAATTTATTAGCTGCTCAACACGACCTTAACTAGCTGAATCAGATATGCTAAATTAGTGTTGGACTGAACCTACAGGACAGTAGATCTCCAGGAAGAGGGTTGGGCAGCCCTGACATGTATATGGCCACTAACACAATCACAATCCTTTGTTTAAAAATTCTATATCATTAGCATAGTTAGTAGCCTCTGATTATGGGTTCAGTTCAACATTACAGGTGTTATCTTCTAATTTTTATTTTTTGTTTCCCTTTTTTAGTTTTTGAGGCATCTTTTTTGAGCAGCGACAAATCGTAAGTTGGTCTCCTGTTTTTTTTCCACCTCCACGTTGACATCGATTTTGAATCTAGTTTAGCATTTTTCTTTCTGCCTTTTGTGAAGTAGCCTTTTTTCTCCTTTTGGAAATCCCTAAAGCAAGTAGTTTTCTGCTGCTTTTGTGTTGTGATAGCTACTACTCTCCATTTTTTAGTCGTTTTGAGTAGCCTAGTAGTTTGCATTTCACATTGAACCCCTACTTTTCCAGTTTTCTTGATTAAAAAAAAAAAAAAAAACTTTAAAATTGGTCACCTTCACAAAGTATTCACACCCCTTTACTTTTTCCATAATTTGTTACACAGCCTGAATTTAAAATTATTAAATTGAGTATTCTTTTTTAAAGTCACTAGCCTACACACAATACCCCATAATGTCAGTGGGATTATTTGTTTTGGCATTTTTACAAGTTAATAAAATGAGAAGTTGAAATGTGTTCAACCCCTTTGTTACGGCAAGCCTAAATAAGTTCAGGAGTAAAAATGTGTTAAGCAAGTCACATAACAAGATGCATGGACTCACTGTGTGCAATAATAGTGTTTTACATGATTGTTGTATGACAACCTCATCTCTGTACCCCACCCAAACAATTATCTGTATGGTCCCTCAGTCGAGCAGTGAATTTAAAACCGATTCAACCACAAAGATCAGAGGTTTTCCAATGCCTCACAAAGAAAGGTACCTATTGGTAGATGGGTATATAAAAAAAAAAAAAATAAAAAAAAAGACATTGAATATCCCTTTGAGCATGGTGAAGTTATTTAATTACACTTTGGATGGTGTATCAATACACCCAGTCACTACAAAGATACAGGGAAGGAAACCACTCAGGGATTTCACCATGAGGCTAATGGTGACTTTAAAACAGTTACAGAATTTAATGCCTGTGATAGTAGAATGGATCAACAACATTGTAGTTACTCCACAATACTAACCTAATTTACGGAGTGAAAATAAGGAATCCTGTAAAAAAATAATGCATCCTGTTTGCAACAAGGCACTAAATTAATACTGCAAAAAAAAAAAAGTAGCAATGAAATTCACTTTTTGTCCTGAATACAAAGTGTTATGTTTGGGGCAAATCCAATACAACACATTACTGAGTACCACTCTTCATATTTTCAAGTATAGTGGTGGCTGCATCATGTTATGGGTATGCTTGTAATTGTTAAGGACTGGAGTTTTTCAGGATAAAACATAAACAGAATGGGGCTAAGCACAGGCAAGATCCTAGAGGAAAACCTGGTTTAGTCTGCTTTCTACCAGACACTGGGAAATTAATTCACCTTTCAGCAGGACAATAACTTAAAACGCAAGGCCAAATCTACACTGGAGTTGTTTACCAAGAAGACAGTAAATGTCCCTGAGTGGCCAAGTTACAGTTTTGACTTAAATCTACTCAAAAATGTATGGCAAGACCTGAAAATGGTTGTCTAGTAATAATCAACAACCAATTGGACAGAGCTTACATTTTTTTGAAAATAATAATCTTAGACTTACCCGAAAAGACTCACAGCTGTAATCACTGCTAAAAGTGCTTTTACAAAGTTTTGACTCGGGTGATAATACTTGTATATAAATGTAAATTAGATATTAATTTCTCAAATGTAGCAAACATTTCTAAAAACAGGTTTTCACTTTGTCATTGTTTGTAGATGGATGAGATTATTTTAAATTCAGGATGTAACACAAGATGCGGAATAAATATGAATACTTTCTGAAGGCACTGTAACTGACAATCGGTGACGGGTAACCATCGAAGGGGCTGGTGAGAAACCGGGATCCCCCAACTTACCAGGAGTTGAGAAATACTGACCTGTCTAACTACTTACTTGTTAACTGGAGATGTTTGCATATGTGACAACTGTTGAAGCACAACACACACTAATGAAAGCCTTGAACATAAGCCTAAACTGTTCTGCGCTCTTAAACAACTCTACATGCTGTGTGTCTTTCTACTTCTTGTAAAATAATATCTCTAAATGGGGAGTTAAGTAATCCACTAAGGGTCTGACTGCATTATAGAACCACCAATAAGGCTAGGGATCTCACGATACGACATCATCATGATTCAGGTGCCAATAAGATATGTATGGCGATTCTGTATGTTTTGCGATTCGATGCTGTGATTTGTATTGCGATTCGACGTTCCAAAGATATTGCTCACCATGTCTTCTGCAGAGGGACAAGAGAAAACAAGTTTTAATCAGTCATGGAAATGTGTTGGAAACAAATTGGCTCCCTATTTAAAAATAAAATGTAGAACAAGCTATAAAGGAAATACTGTAGTTTTGGTACCGCCAACTAGCACTGTACGTTATTGTCAAAAATAATATTCCGATATGTAACCATCACAACCACCAAAGTGTAGTAACAACACCGTGTAGTACCACCCGAAAGGAGGCAGATGACTTTCAGTTTGGAATCAACCAGACTAGGGCCATGTCCCAATCATCTCTTCTTCCCCCCCCCGAAGTGTGCATTTGCTCACTTCCCTACACTGATTTGAAAGGAAATGACTCGAAGAAATATAGTGGAGCTCCTACTGGCCTAAGCCTCCACCAATCAAATGCTTTTTATATTTGTGTGGAGTAATGACCGCACACTTCAGGAGAGATTATTGGGACTCTAGGATTATGTCCCTCTCCAGCCCATAATAGTCACAGCTGTGCATGTTATATCACCTCTTACTCGGGTCACATGTCCTGCCTGCGTTCTCCTGTCATTGATGCTAGTGGATACTAACCCAGCCTTGTCAACTGGTCAGACATGACAACACATCTTAGCCAAATCACTAACTGAAAAGCGCATTAAGCTTTTGGATAGACACCCAGACTCAACGCAGCAGTCTAATCCGAAATGAGTGTGTGTGTCCACCGTACAGAGACCCTGGCTGTGTCATGTGGTCTGTTGTAACATCTATTTTTATCATTATGAAAGTGGACACAAGCCACGAGGGCCTCTGCTTTGAGATTGACAAAAACAGACATTTGAGAATGTCCTCCCCACACCACGCCAAGTAATAACATATCCCTTGGTTTACATCCCAAATGACACCCTATTTATTCCCTGTAAAGTGCACTACTTTTGACCACAGCCCTGTGGTTAGCTTCTTCTGGTAAGAAGTAGTGCACTATATAGGGTATAGGGTGCTAATTGGGACTCGCCTCCATAATTCGATTTACCACAAAAATGTATAATAATGAAAACAAGTGACTTAAAATCACTTCCTGTTAAAGTAGTTCACAAACATTTATAAGAAGCAATGCGTCAAGAGAGTACACATGGTAGCTAATATACTATATGATTTGTCCCAAATAAGACCCTATTCCCTACAAAGTTCACTACTTTGACCGGAGCCCTTTGAGCCCATATGGGCCCTAGTCAAAAGTCATGCCAGCTGTGGATCATATAGTTTGTGTATCTAATGACCCCAATATGCTCAGGTACTTTGGGTTTTTCTGAATGGGACTATTGACCTGCCCAATTAAACAGTTTCTAACGTATTTGTCATGCTAAGTCTTGTTTGTTATGATAATACTATTCGTCCAACAGGTTTTTGGGGCTTCTTCCTTTACCGCCACAACTCCACGTTATTTTTTTTGTGTGGTATATTTTCCCCTGAAGTACCTCATGGGGGCTGCACTGATCCAAAAACAAGAAATACTGAACTTCTGGAGACTTTTCTAATTCTAGAGACATCGCCCCTGTAGATGCACTAAATCTCCCACAATGCATTGCTGAGCTCCGGCTCGGTTGACCAATAATGACACTCTTCTCTCCAACAGAAACAGGTAGGCAGGCAGGCAGACCACGACCGTCCAGGGTACAGGCAATATGGAGTGAGTTCTGGCTATTTCAACCCTGCCTATATGTTCTATAGATGTAGGAACAGATGGCTTTAAACCCTGAAATCTGTGCAAAATGGCTGTTGACAAACATGGTGTGTGTGAAAATAGCAACCCCCACCCACCTTCCTGTGAACAAAACCATTACATTAGATTATAGGCACACCAAAGTCGTCCTATACAGTCACCATGTACTGTGAGCCATCACCCAAAGTCACCTAGATACACAATGAAGGGGATGCTTGTTTTAAACAACCGGTTGTGTGTGTGTATGTAAACAGACAGCTGACACACACACTCTGAAATCAGGTCCAGTTTATGTTGAAAAGCATCCCCAAACAGGCACACACACGCATATCCACACACTCAGCTTCTCTCTCTCTCTCTCTCTCTCTTTCTCTCTCCCCTCTGTTTCCCCGCTCTTCTCCTTTTCATCCCCTTCTCATAAACAACCCAGCCGGTCTCCCACCACCACTAGCCTGATGGCTGGCAACGTTACCAACAAGACGGACCCTCGCTCACTCAACTCCCGAGTCTTCATCGGGAACCTCAACACTCTCCTGGTCACCAAGGCAGACGTGGAGGCCATCTTCAGGTCGGGAGCATGGACGGTACTATGTAGGGTTGCACAATTCCAGTAACTTTCTCTAAATTCCCCTTTTATTTATATAGATTACTGAACAAAAATATAAACACAACATGAAACAATTTTACAGTTCATATAAGGAAATCAGTCAATTTAAATGAATTCATTAGTCCCTAACCTATGGATTTCACATGACTGTGCAGCCATAGGCCCACCGACTTGGCAGCTAGGCCCACCCACTGGGGAGCCAGGTCCAGCCAATCAGATGTAATTATTCACCACAAAAGGGCTTTATTACAGACAGAAGTTCTCTAAAATGGCATTGGAGGCAGCTTATGGTAGAGAAATTAACATACAATTATCTGGCAACGGCTCTGGTGGACATTCCTGCAGTCAGCATGCCAATTGCACACTCCCTCAACTTTGTGACATCTGTGGCATTGTGTTGTGTGACAAAACTGCACATTTTAGAGTGGCCTTTTATTGTCCCCAGCATAAGGTGCACCTGTGTAATGATTAATCAGCTTCTTGATATGCCACACCTGTCAGGTGGATGGATTATCTTGGCAATGGAGAAATGCTCACTAACAGGGATGTAAACAAATTTGCTCCAAGAATTGGAGAGAAATAAGCTTTTTGTGAGAATGGAACATTTCTGGTATTTTTTATTTCAACTCATGAAACATGGGACCAACACTTTACATGTTGCGTTTATATAGTTGTTCAGTGTATATACTTTTTTCATCTTGGTTGGAAAAATTTTCCGCAATCAGGAGGGTATAAGCAGGAAATCTGGAATCGTCTAACCACGATTTCTGGAAAACTGGGGAATTTTGGGAAAGTTACCAGAATTTTGCAAGCCTAGTACTATGGCTGATCTCTGCTCCAACCTCTCAAGCCCCTGTGTATCTGTTTCTTTGGAGAGGTTGGGCTGAAGCAGAAGACACGTTTCCATTTGTTGTACATTGGGCAATAACGTAACCTTGTTCATCTTCAGCAAGTACGGCAAGATAGTGGGCTGCTCCGTGCACAAGGGGTTCGCTTTTGTCCAGTACGCCAACGAGAGGAACGCCCGGGCTGCCGTAGGGGGCGAGGATGGGAGGATGATCGTAGGACAGGTGCTGGGTAAGAACCTGGACCACCGTTTCCTCCCTTTCTCCCTTGTCCTCCCTTTACCGCCAATAGGTTTCCCTCTTCTAAAGGCATAGTATATATGGAGATGTGATCTTTTGGATTTGACGCCCCTTCTTGATTAAACTTTCTCTCATTCTCCTCCTTTCTCTGCTCTTTCTGTCTCTTTCTCTCCTCTCTCTCAGACATTAACCTCGCTTGTGAACCGAAAGCATCAGAGATTGAAGACTGTTAAGCGCTCTGCAGGAGACATGTACAGGTGTGCCTCCTCGCTCTGTGAATTTAAATAGGATCTTTACCAAGTGCTTCAGTCAATCCTTTTGTATAAAAAGAAATGCATGTAAATGTTGAACTATGCAATCTACTGTTCCGACCATGCTGTCTCTCACTCCCTGTCCCCCTCTCTCTCTTTTGTCTCTCTCTGTATCTCTCCCTCTTTCTTTTTCTTGTTGCTTTCCTCCTCAGTTCTTCATTTGATTTGGAATATGACTTCCAGAGAGATTACTACGACCGGTAAGCCTTCCTTTCTCAGTTGCCACACATACTGTACTGACAAAGGGATAAAGATTTGATCTTTTTGGTGTGTGTGTTGCCGTTGTAGGATGTACCCGTACCAGTCCCGCGTGCCTCCTCCGCCTCCTCCCCCCCTGTCCCGGGCGGTGATCCCCTCCAAGCGGCCCCGGGTCAGTTTGAGCGGAGGTGGTGGAGGAAGAGGAGGTGGAGGAGGAGGGGCCAGCCGACGCACCAAGACCAACTTCTCATCCTCCACCTCCAGGAGCAGTCAGAGCAGGGTCTCCACCTCGCGCACCAGTCAGTACCACACACATACATGGAATTACAGATGCTTTTGACACTTCCGACAGTGATAATATACACTGAGTGTACCAGACATCAGGAACACCTTCCTAATACTGAGTGGAATCCTCCCCCTTTTTGCCCTCAGAACAGACTCAATTCGTCGGGGCATGGACTCTACAAGGTGTCGAAAGTGTTCCACAGGGATGCTGGCCCATGTTGACTCCAATGCTTCCCACGGTTGGCTGGATGTCCTTTGGGTGGTGGACCATTCTTGATACACACAGGAAACTGTTGAGCGTGAAAAACCCAGCAGCATTGCAATTCTTGTCTCAAACCAGTGTGCTTGGCACCTATTATCATACCCCGTTTAAAGGCACTTAAATATTTTGTCTTGCTCATTCACCCTCTGAATGGCACATATACACAATCCATGTCTCAAGGTTTAAAAATCCTTCTTTAATCTGTCTCCTCCCCTTCATCTACACTGATTTGAAGTGTATTTAACAAATGACATCAAGAAAGGGTCATATCATTCACCTGGTCGGTCTGTCATGGAAAGAGCAGGTGTTCTTAATGTATTTTATACTCCAGAGTATATGATAATATTTGCCATTTAGCAGATGCTTTTATCCATAGCGACTTAGTCATGCATGCATGTGTTTTTACGTATGGGTGGTCCCGTGAATCAAACCCACAATGCTGGGGTATTTACGTATGGGTGGTCCCGTGAATCAAACCCACAATGCTGGGGTATTTACGTATGGGTGGTCCCGTGAATCAAACCCACAATGCTAGGGTATTTACGTATGGGTGGTCCCGTGAATCAAACACCAATATAAGCACACACTTACTAACTCTGAATTGACTCAGATAATTTACCCTGTAGACGCATGTATCCATGTTCATTATATGGAAGTGAAATCCATACCTACTGTTATTGAATGCCTCTGACTCTCCCCTCTCTCTAACCCAGTGAAGGCAGATGACCTGCAGACCATCAAGAGAGAGCTGACCCAGATCAAACACAAGGTTGACTACCTGCTGGAGAGTCTAGAACGCATGGAGAAGGACCACACCAAGAAGTTAGGTAGGACGGGACAGACACTAGTCAGGAAGTACACAGACACTAGTCAGGAAGTACACAGACACTAGTGATGGAAGTACACTTGTTGCCCACTGCGTTTTCAGACATATTAGGTATGAAACAACACATTTTTGTTTATCAATAAAACTCCCACTCCCATCTCTCTCTCCCCTCTCCCTCTCTCTCTCTCCCACTCCCATCTCTCTCTCCCCCCTCCCATCTCTCTCTCTCTCTCTCTCTCTCTCTCCCCCCCTCCCCCATCTCTCATCTCTCTCTCTCCCATCTCTCATCTCTCTCATCTCTCATCTCTCTCTCCCCCTCCCATCTCTCTTCTCTCTCTCCCCCTCCCATCTCTCTTATCTCCAGACATGAAGAGTAGTGGGAAGCCTGAACTCGGGGAGGTGTCTCCTCTCCTCCACTGCGGAGGAAAGAAGGAGGAGAGCTTGAAGAGGGAGAGCCAACTGCTCAATGACTCAGAAGAGGAGGAGGGAGACTTACTGGAGGAGGAGAGGAGGAGGTGAGAGGGGGATGAGGGAGGAGAGGAGGTAAAAGGGGAATGGGAGAGGAGGAGGAAGTGAGATGAGGAAGGAGAGCGGAGGAGGAGGTGCGGGGGTGATGGATGAGGTGAGCGGAGCAGACTGAGGGGGCGGAGATTTAGGAGAGGCGAGATCAGTACTTGAGTGGACACTTGAGTGGGGTAGGGAAGGAGGGGAATGGAGAAGTGCTTGAGGTGTAGTGTGAACATTGAGGAGGAAGCAGTGAGTGCCTCCCAAATGGCACCCTATTTCATATATAGTGCACTAATTTTGACCATGTCCTGGTTTAAAGTAGTGTACTATATAGGGCATATGGTGACATTTGGGAATGAGTGTCTAATATCAGCTTATTGAATGTTCTCTGCAGGTGAAGAGTCGAGGAAGGGAAGATGACGATGAGGAGGAGGAAGGAGAGGATGATGGCGATAGCGCCAACGGAGACGACTCTTAAACACAGCAAGATTGTCTGTTCACGCGCGCACACACACACACATATACAGGCACACACACACCCTGTCATACACAAAAGGAAATGTGTATAACTACATACCAACACACACGCAGTACATGGACAGCTGTTCTTACTGAACTCAGTTGAAATGTCCATATGAATACTATGTTCTGTATCATTCTGAACGTGTACTCACATACACATTCAGTAACACTCTACCAGTTATGTCAAGGAAATATCTGTCCCTTTTCTTCCCTTTGGATTTTTCTCCTCTGTATTAGTTTGTAGCCTCCTACGGCCGTCCTGATCTCGCCATTTACATTATAAGCGAAATGAAACGAGCGAGAGCGCGCGCTGAGGTCAGGATGGTGGACCAGGCTAATTATTTACGTATATCATATGCATCATGAACATTTGTTTTATTCTAGTTGTACTAGTCTGGATGCAGTGGTTCTCAAACCTCTCCTCAGAGATCCCCAGCCGTTCCATGTTTTTGATCTATTCCAGAGCTAACACACCTGATTCAACTTGTCAACTAATCATCAAGCTCTTGACGAGGTGAATCAGGTGAGTTAGTTCAGAGCTACAACAACATTGTGAAACGTCTGGCTGTCCCGAGAGGTTTTAAAACTACTGGACTGGAGGATCTTGGCATAGCTGAGAGGACACTGGGTGCTGTACTGCTGTGTCCACCAGCAGGTGGCACTGTGCAATTACATTTTTACACACCGAGGCTACCGTGAAATGTGGCGCTGGAGTCTGGAAGATTTTACAATTTACATATTATAAAAACGGTAAACAATGAAACAGACATGTATAGGAAGATTTCATGCCAGGATTTTCCAATGTATGCCCTGAACGGTTTTGCTTGTTTCTTTTTTTAGCTTACTTATTTGTGTCAGGAAATACAGAGTTTGACTTAATATAACCTTGAGTTCTGTAATGGATGATATCCATGTTGGTGTGTTTGTCTCAGTTGCCGTGTGATTTCAGTTGACCATTACTTGGACTGTGCTTGTGAATTAAAAACTTCCAAGTGGGAATGCTCCAGGCCAGAATGTCTTTGAGCTGTTTGTAATCAAGATGTGGTGTGTGTGTGTACAGAGCATGTTTCTGCTAATTATAGGCTAACAGGTGACAACTACTCAGCCAAATATAGCATTAACATGAGACAACTTGGTAACTCAAAATACATGGTTAACAAGTGGTTAACTACTCGTGTTCCCTTTACAGGAGAATGTGTCTTGTCAGGTCCTTAATGCCAAGACTGCTTCCCTCAGCACCACTCAGAATAAGCCAACCTGGCCTCAGGGGTAGAAGTAATATAGTAAATGTAAATTTAGTACACTCAAATCAGTATGATACTGAATGATACATTTGGTGTGTTATGTGTTCATTTATGAATGTCCATTTTGAATGATATGTCACGAATTACAATTTGTCTAACTTTGACTAGGTGGCTAAAGATAGCGTTAGCTAAGTGGCTAACGTTAGCTAGGCTAGGGGTTATTGGAAAGGTTAGCTAACATGCTAAGTAGTTGCAAAGTAGCTAAAAAGTAATAAGTAGTTGCTAATTATCTCAAATGCTACCCCAACTAACCACCCTCCTTTTGTTTATGCCTTATGTAACCATACCAAACGCAACATTTCATGCTAATTTCAGTGTCCCTTATTTTCATTTCCTATGTTACGTCTAGTCTGAGACCAGCCTGAATAAGCAGAGCTCTCCTCCAGAGGAATTCCTCAGCTATGCTGACCTTTCTATGAATGGCACAGACATCTGAGCAGACGTGAAGGGTAAACACACACAGTATCTGACACACTATGGATATACAGGTAAACACTTGAGTAATTGAGGGATATAAAGTATATTGAAAGCAGATGCTTCCACCCAGGTGTGGTTCTTTCGCCTCAGGAGGATGAAAATATTTGGAATGGGCCTTCAGATCCTCCAAAAATTCTACAACTGCACCATTAAAAGCATCTTGACTGGCTGCATCACCGCTTTGTACGGCAACTGCTTGGCATCCGACCGCAAGGCGCTACAGAGGGTAGTGCGTACGGCCCAGTACATCACTGGGGCCGAGCTCCCTGCCATCAGATACCTGGCGGTGTCAGATGAAGGCCCTAAAAATTGTCGAAGACTCCAGCCACCCAACTCATAGCTGTTCTCTCTGCTACCGCATGGCAAGCGGTACCGTAGCTTCTACCCCCAAGCAATAAGACTACTGCAACAGTTAATCAAATGGCCACCCGGACTATTTGCATTAATCCCCTTTTTATTGTACTGACTCTCTTGCACTAGCTCTATACACACTCACTAGGCCCACACACTCACACATACTACACTGACACTCCAACATATACACACACACACACACACACTACGTACACTCACACACACAAAACACACACAATCATATTGATGCCACACACACATATTGACACGCTTTCACACTTAACATGCGCTGCTGCTACTCTGTTTATTATCTATCCTGATTGCCTAGTCACTTTTACCCCTACCTACATGAACATATTACCTCAAGTCAGTGGAGGCTGCTGAGGGGAGGGCGACTTATAATAATGGCTGGAATGGAGTCCATGGAAATGTATCAAACTTGGTTTCCATTGGTTGATACCATTCCATTGACTCCATTGCAGCCATTTATGAGCCACCCTCCCCTCAGCAGCCTCCACTGCCTCAAGTATCTTGTATGCCTGCACAGTGATTCGGTACTGGTACTCCTTCTATACAGCCTCGTTATTGTTATTTTATTATTTAGCTAATGTTTCTTACTTTTTAATTCTTCAGTGTTGGTTAAGGGCTCGTAGGTAAGCATTTCACTGTAAAGTCTACACCTGTTGTATTCCACGCATGTGACAAATGAAATGTGATTGGATGTAACGCGAACATCTAACAACCTAAAGGTTGCATGTTTGAATCTCATCACGGGCAATCTTTGCTAATTGCAACTACTTAATTTGCAACTACTTACAACTCTTTAGCTACTTTGCAACTACTTAGCATGTTAGCTAACCCAAACCTTAACCCTTTAACCTGACTCCTAACCCTAACCTTAACCCCTAGCCTAGCTAACGTTAGCCACAACAAATAGTTACATATCGTACGTGTTATCATACATAACATGTTGTACGAAATGGATGATGGACATTAACAAATTAATACATACCAAACTAAACATAGGGCGGCAGGTAGCTTAGTGGTTAAGAGCGTTGTGCCAGTAACCGAAAGGTCGCTGGTTCTAATCTCCGAGCCGACTAGGTGAAAAATCTGTCGATGTGCCCTTGAGCAAGGCACTTAACCCTAATTGCTCCTGTAAGTCGCTCTGGATAAGAGCGTCTGCTAAATGATTAATTATTTATTATTAAACGTAACATATTCTAATTTGAGTTTCCCAGATTTTTGTTTACTATGTTACATCTACAAAGCAGGATCACACTTTTTCTGGTTCATTAAGAATGATAAACTTAGATGTGTTTTTGGTTGTTGAGTCATTTCCATTTCAAACGTATCTTTCTAAAAAAATTAAAAGTTGCGTAAGAATATTTAGGCAAGTTAACGGCTAACTCATTGATGCTGCTTTGTAGTATACCCCTCTGGTTGGGTTGGGAGGTAGAGATGGCTACCACCAGACAACATTCATTATCAGGTGGTTGTTTGGGAGGTAACCTAGCGTAACAGGTGTAAAAGAAACGCCTGAAACAAGATCCCCTACATACTGATCTTGACGAGAAGAAAACAACTGTCGGGGGGAGGTTCTCTTCTGCACTCTTCAACCAATCCAGTAAATGTAGAGGAGGAGTTAAGATGGAATGGCAGAGGCTAGTTTGGAGGTAGAGATGGCTATCACTAGACAACATAAAGTATCAGGTGGTTGGTTGGGAGGTAGAGATGGCTACCATCAAATGTACATTATCCTAGGGGCATTGGCATACACAATGTAAGTAACTTTAATTTATGTCCCCCTAATTGCCCTGAATACCTCTGTTGATCCTACAGTTATTGTATGCAGTAATCATGAGCCTATGAACCAGAGTTACACTGTTAGCACTGAGGCGGTGTAACCTAGTAGGAAGACCATTTTGTGCAGCTCACCCTGCTCTATCAGCTCCAATATAAATAACATGAGCAAGTCTACTTCTGATAAGCTTCCTAGTAAAGCATTAAAAACAATCAAGCAATCCAGAAAAGTGCTAAAAATAGCCCATATTAACATTTGCAGCCTGAGAAACAAGATCCATGAAGTCAAAAACTTGCTTGTAACAGATGACATTCATATTCTGACTATGGGGGCGGCAGGTAGCTTAGTGGGTAAGAGCGTTGTGCCAGTAACCGAAAGGTCGCTGGTTCTAATCCCCAAGCTGACTAGGTGAAAAATCTGTCGATGTGCCCTTAAGCAAGGCACTTAACCCTAATTGCTCCTGTAAGTCGCTCTGGATAAGAGCGTCTGCTAAATGACTGAAATGTAAATCTCTGAAACTCACTTAGATAATACATTTGATGATACAGTGG